TGACACTTCAGCATTATCGAAATATGATTTATCATCAAGAAAATTGAAATAAATATACTGCATTTTACGCTGATATTTTGTATGATTGTGGGGCTTTCCCAATAGAGCTGATCCGTTTTTGTAGTTACTACGTTGCTCTATCATAAAAAATCATATAAGGCGAATTCAAATGTAATTTTTTAAAAAAGAGTTCGAAACCCTTATAGACTCAAACGCAGCCTTAAAAATAAATATTCTAAAAAAAACTACTAGAGTTTGCGTGTGACACAAGATTCGATTCCATGTTGGCTATATAATACATCTGTCGACTGAGTATATATATACATTACATTGAGTCAGCTAAACTGCTATTTCATTTGATTCACTAATTACTAACGAAATATTATATGATACGAAATATTTTGTAATTATGTGATTTGGAAACATTTTTTTTGTGTACGTCGAAGCGTTATATTAAACGTTGATATCATTTTCTTAAATGGATTTTCTAGCTGTGTTTTGTAGGCCATTTTCTTAAACTAAGAGTTAACATTTGCAAATATAAGCCATAATATCATTGGCCAAAGTTCGAAATCTCTTTAGCGAGCTTCACGTAGACCCGGTCGTAGAGCTAGGCAGAAAATTCTTTATTTGCTAGCAAATGGAAGTGGATAGTCTATACATAATATAATATGATATATTGCAACAATCTTCCGACCATAGGATTAACAGACACCAGCTTTATGTTTGATGTATATCACTTATAGAATAATATTTACAGAGCTTTTATATTTTTTTCTTTGTCATGTATTACATCTTTTATGATTTAATAAAAGGCTTTTATTTGTAAATAATATCTTTGAAGCACAAGGAAATTTAATTACAACATTTCTTTATATATTTTAAGACCTTTTTGTACAAAAACAAAAATGTCAAAAAACAAAAACAAAAACAAAAACTTTGTCGTAATTATCACGCTGTTTAACGTTATACTGTGGTGTACCTGGATGCTCCTAGTCAGTACAGTAAAGCTTACAGATACTTAACAAATAAATAATGTAGATTACAATAGGTGATGAAGCTGCCTTAATGAAGCTTGCAGTAGCTGCACTATAAGTGCAGCTTATAACAATATATGAGAAGATACAAATTCAAACCCGCAAGATTTTCTTACCGTTTGGAAGCGGAATTACAAAAGCCATATAAAAAAGCTAAGGCGTGGTTCTACCATTTCGTGGTAGAACCACGCCTTAGCTTTTTTATAGATATAGTATGAATGGGTCAGCTGGACAGATGCTGATGTATTTCTTATAATGAGGGTAGAGAATCGGTGACCTTTTTTACTGTTAACGAGGCCTTCTGTCTTTGTCTTCAGGGGTAACGACGCAGCGCATTTTGATTCTTGATCAAATATAGATGAAAGTGTCTGGGCTACAGTATCCGCTTACAGTTAGGTGGACTGTTTGCTCGTTTTGTCATTCTAATTCTATAAAAAAGTAACCCGTAGTAAAAAAAAAACTGTTTAAGATGCTACTTTATGAAATTCTAGAAAGATCTAATGATATTATATGGCGGTACCATCTCATTTATGCCAGATGTTAAGTGCTCAGTCTAGTGACCAGGAGCAGCAGCTCACAGACGTACAATAAAACTTGATTCCCATTTGCGTAACCTAAGATCAGTAGAGAGATTGAAATTGAATATGCCACTACACACTACTAAATTTATAAACAAGTCCTTTACTGTACAGGCCGTTCGTTCGATAAAATGAACTCCCATTGGCAGTAAAACGCGCACCATCCCTACCGGTATTTAAAAAAACTAATCAAGAATCACTACCTCGCACTTTAAATTTTAACTTCGCTTCCACACTAGCCACTAAATATAATTCATTCATTCATTGCTTGTCTGGAAGAAATCGCTGTCAGCAATAAGTCCGCTCATTTTGTACTCATTTTGTTTCTATAATCTTTAATTTTTGTATTGTGTGCAGTAAAGAATATTAAATTAAATAAATAAATACAGCTATCCATGAAAACCAATTCGGTTTCTAATTGTATCGATTATGGCAAATTTTTCCTTCATGGCTACCATTGTACTATTAAGGGCTGATGTAGAAGTAGATCAGCAGAAAATATTCCACCTTTAACAAATCTGAGCTAGGTCTTTGAGGAAGATGTACATCATGTCAAGTTAAAAAACATAAAAATGAAAACGGTTTCGTTAAATGTGTGATCTTATGTTATATACCAGTATAAATAAGATACATATTTGTATATTGATATAATAGAGAAAAAGGGAGGAATTTCATTATAAATCAAATATTAATGCGGCAGTGATGAAACGAAGAGTGGGTTCCACTTAGAGACCGCTCGGAAGCTGGAGCAGTGTGGTTATTGCAAGCACCCGCTATATGTAAATGAATTGAACACTTTATTACGTTGAAGTAAATTTCATCGGATGTTCTGTCTAATGATTTATGGATATACTTATCTCTCTTTATTGCAGTCATAAAGATAATAAATCTTTTGTTCTTATAACAAACTGAATAAGTAAAGAGCTCTTTGACTTTCAATTTCTTTACAGATGTTTTGAGAGATTTGTTTTATCAGTATATACTTTTTTAAATAGCCTTGCGTAGTAATTTTCACCATTTTCTTTAGTAAACAGTATTTCCAATAATTACTTAAAATTTAAAATTCATAGGTAATTATTTGTCCATTTCTCTTTACCCATTTTCAAGCCGTGGTAGCTCAGATGGCTAGCGCTCGCTGTAAATTTCACAGTACCCGAGCGACCCGGGTTCGATTCCCACCGGCACCAATAAAATAGTTAATTTCAATTTTAAAGTGCCGATTTACCACGTGCTCGGTGAAGGAAAACATCGTGGGGAAACCTGCATGTCTGCGAAATAAGAAAAAAATACTTTCGAAGACATGACAAGTTCGCCAACACGCTTTTTTTTAATTATTTTTTTTAAATTACCTATTTTGATTAAATATATTAGTTCAATGACATTAATGAACAATATAATAAATAATTATTTTAAAAAGAATAATTTAAAGGTGACAAACGGTAGCAAAATTATTAGTCTTATACATCCTCGATTAAGAATCATAATGCGAGATGGAATAACCAGTTTTCGTGACTCGCCATATAAAACACTGCAGTATTATGTTACTATTTCACACTGATATTCTGTGCGAAGGTGGTCTTTACAAAATGTGCTGGCTCTACAAAGGATTTCTTTTTATTCAGGCAGTAAACAAATATGAATAATTGGTACATCAAGTTTTACTTAAACACGTATATATTTTCAGCTTTACTATCAAAACATTGCTTTTTTAATACTGTGCTAAATCCACTAGCCACGTCAGTCGGTACGACTTCTACTTCTTGTAAGTTTATTACTAGGCTAAGCTGTGTTTACGTTGACGCGGAGCGTGTAATGGAAAACGTGACCGCCACCGTCGAATACTGTTGAACTTATTGTCAAGTCACTAGCTCTAATGCCTTCGTCATACGAATTCGCTTATATGCTACTCTAATTGAACTTTATTTTATATTTAATTTATTTCAAAATTAATCTTCGGCCGTCATAATCATAACCTTAGCATATATCGTGTTATTTATCACACAGAGTAACTGTTGATTTTTAAGTAACTATACTAATGAGGTTGAAGAAATCTTTATATAGAAAATAAACCATATAAATGATTTACAAACTTACTGTCAAAATTGACTCTTATATCAAATTATTTTTCGTAGACTATATTAGATCTAGAATCAAAATAATGAACATAAGCCTTCAATGAATTACTTTAAAACAAAAAATCTAGATAAAGTTGAAAACAATCCAACGATAAAACTCGAATATGTATGAAGATCGAAGTTTAGTATGTAGTGTAGAGTCAGACATAGTCTCTTATAACTCTTATATAAATCAAACGAAATCTCGGTTCGATTCACGCGGATCAAATATCTCTGTTAACAGTACAAAGAGAACAACGGATGTAAGGGCCAGGGGGGGGAAAATCGTAATTTTATTACGTTCTAACAATAAACTTAGACCACCGAAGTCTAAAGAATTTAACAAACATATTGTTTAAAAAAAAAGAATGACTTTTTCTGTTTTAGTATCTTCTTTAAATTAATTCCATTTTTTTATAGAATAGGGTAGGTGATGTTTTTTATAGATAGGGTTTATTGGATATCGTATAGCACTGTTGGTATTTTTTTTTTTTATATATATATTTTTTTTTTTAATTTTCTTTATGTCTATCAGTCTGTTCGTGCGGGGAAACTCGGGACGGTTCAACAGATTGTAACGAAACATCGCAGACGAATGGATTTGACTTTTAAACATACATTTATTTTCATTTGTGAATACAGGTAATAAGATTGAAGAGATCTATGGAAAAAAGCTAGTTTGCTGTATTCAACCGTTCGGTATACTAAACTAAGTATTATAGGTACAATTAAATCTACTACACTACTATTATAGAGAGCAATACCAGGAGTGATCTAAGCTATATTTTATCCGGTAAATTTGGACATTAAAAAACTAAAGGTTACTAAGATAAATGATTTTTTAATTCCTATCGGGATAGGCGATGCCGGGGCGAGTCACTAGTTAGATAATATATATTTATATTCTGATGAGGTAAAGTAGGAAGGTCTAAAATATTTGCACAATGAAGCCAATGAATGGCTCGTCTTATAACATAAAGGGACGCTTTTTCCTCATCGCTTATTTGCGTTTCCTCTTGGATGGAAGTTTTTCTTATTTCTCCGCAAAAATGCTTTCAACTTAATTGATTAATATTTTCTTGCAGCCTATTTATATGTATACGGTTGTGATTTATTTTCCTAAGATATTAAACTCTTGCACATTTGTGAATTTTAAGTATATCTAAGACTGTGTAATGTTTTGATAAACGAACTATTGTGTAGTCAATTAATATAGTGCTAGTGTATACAAGAGTTTTGATGTCATTTATATAGTTATAGCAATTTTAAACATGTCACAAGTACCGCAACAAGGTTTTGTGCCCGAGAAAATCCAGGAGTTCAATCGCAGAGCGTCACTAGACATGAGTGACTCGCCATCTCATCAAAAAGTACTACGAAATCCGCAAGATACTACACCTAAGAAGGAACCTAACCAGAACGGTACGGATAAATCGACAGACGAAAAGTCTAAACAGGACTTTAAACCTAAATCTGACACCAGTAGCCCAGCGCGTCCGAGCATAGAGAGCAAAAACCCATTCTCTTCTAATTTTTATCGCAACAGACAACACGGACATTTTGAAATGGGTCCGCGCGGTTTAGATTATTCTCCACATCGCATGGGCATGGAATTTACAAATAGGCTTCGAGATTATGGACCACAACGATCAACATCCATCCACGGCCACGAGCTGACCGATGGTCCTGTGAAACCAGAGTATTTGGGTCATCGGGCGCATTTTGGCAGCCAGATTGTTCCTGGTGGTATCAACCATCCTGATGTAGTCTTCAGACATGATTATTATAACCAAATGGGTTTTTCTCCGCCGCGTGCTTCGAGGTTTTCTTCCCAGGAGTATCTAAATGCACCCGCTCAGTATGGAAGATGGCCGGATTACAGATCTGAGTATCGCCAAAGACGCCGATCCCAGCAAGACTTGCATTCCATGGGACACAGCCCCGAATCAGGTAACACTTTACTTTCAGTCATATTGATAATTAGTTTGATTCTAGGATTTTTTTAATTAAAGCATAGCCATCTTACCCTGTAGTGGCGATGAAAGAACAATCACTATCCCGTATCGTGTCGTGAGTGTTGCAGTAGGCGATGAAGGGGAAAACATGAGATGGTCAGCAATGTCTTCCTAATAACAACTAAAATCTATAAAATTGCGGTTACCACGGCTGCCAAGCGTGGGAACTATGGCAAATATACCCTCTATGATGCAGTCTATAGGTGAGGTCTGTGTTCAACGGTGGACTTCTGATATGCTGTAACTGATAGCTGTTTTATCCAGTGAAGGAAAGGACTAAAAAGTATTGTGGCTTCGAGAGACGCTCATCATCACAAAAGGCACATACCACCATAATTACCATATATTCATACCGTCTATAAAATTCATATACACGCAGGACGTAGCGTTAAATTTGAGAATAAGATCTGATTTGCAAGCTTTACCATTAAAGTACCAGTTGACTTGCTGATGAGAAATAGACATTTAAAAAATAGAACAAAAAAAATTGTATTTTTTCAGTCTTATTGACCTTAGAATTATTTTTCTTGTCGAATCAAAAGTTTTAATTTGTCTAGTGTCTTTAATACAGCAGAGAAATCTTAAAAAGTATTATCATAGGAAAACTTTGAGTTGTTAAAAATTTTCATTGGTTTCATTTTTATTTTGTCTTTTAACTTTACAAGAAAAGTCCATGGCCACTCTCTAAATTAAACTTAAGGTTTCTTGTAACATTTCTTTTCAGTTTTGGCAACTCGTAGTCAATATATGCTTTATAAGGCCATGCTAGTATCAGAAAAAATTACTTTGATGTTTTGAATAAACGAGCACACAGTCCACTTGATAGTAAGTTGATGATGGTGCCCAAAACAATTAAGAATCGAAATGCAGATGCCTTGTCAACCTTGAGGACTAATATGGAAGCCAAGTTTCTAGTAGAAAGGGTCTCTGGTTCTCTGCACTCACCAAACGAAACAGCAGCGCTAACTGTTGTTTTATGCTGGTATTTTGTGAGAGCGTGGTCCCCTGTCAAGCGGACCAATATGTGTTACAACCATAATATAGCTAAGGCATGGTTCTACCACGTAAAAATTATATGCCTCACAGACTTATATCATTAACAGGTTGTAGTATCAAACAAGACAAACTCTAAATCATAAAACTTGCCCTAACTTCTAAAAGGAGTGTTTTTATTATAGTAATCAATAGTTATAAAAAGAAACCTTAATCAAGGAGTTTTACTTTACTTGTCTGCTTTAGTTTTGTCTTTGACAATGTAAATTTTCCGATCTTGTTCAAGTTTAATCTGGTTTATGATGCGTTAAAGTGCTTTTAAAGGTAGTGTAAAAAGATAGTAAAGATTAACTTACTAAAAGGCTTTTTAGGAAAAATTGAGAATTCCGCTGAGAACTCTGCTGACGAGTTGTTGGGAAGTTTGGCAATAAATAATGCATTGCGTAAATTTTGTATTCTCTCTGTAAAAACAAAGTCGTATAGTATTTACATAAATGTTCACCTGAAACTTCTGACTTTTTTATCATTTTCTTACAACGTTACAGAGTACTTACCAATCAGAGACTACATCAGTAGAATCAGGTCGTCGGCCCCGCGAGGTGTATCGATCCTATTCATACGTGAGCTGTGGTGGGGCTTGCGGTCCTGTTGTTCAACGCTAGACTTTTGAGGGCATCAGTTTTAATTGTACTGTGCACTTTTCAAAAGCGGCTGATCTCAATTCAGTTAGTGCTTTTGTGGGCTGAAAGTGGGTTGAGAGTCATTTGAAAGTTCATACTGAGTGAACAATGCGTCCTTTAGATAATTAATCTCATTTAAGTTGTCATTTGCGTCAAGTTGCGCTGGAATATTATAGAAATTATCCGAGGTCCGAAGAGAGGGGGAGGACACGGTGATTCTCGAATCCGGCAACTTGTTCTATCACCGGGAGGGCGACCATCTGTCCCAAGAAGGTCTCGGATTTATCGTCCACAAGTCTCTCGTCAACAACGTTGTAAAGATTGGGAGTGTGTCGACGAGGGTCGCGTACCTAATACTCAAAATCACCAAACGGTATTCGCTGAAGGTCATACAGGTTTACGCACCAACCTCGGCACATCTCGATGAGGAGGTGGAGGAAATGTATGAGGATATTTCCAAAGCCATGCATTCCTCCAAAACCCACTACACGTTTTGATGGGAGACTTTAGCAACGCAAAACTAGGCTCAAGAGAAAACGGTGAGCTGAAGTTAGGAAAATTTGGAGTAGGGCAACGGAACCGAAAGGGCCAGCAGCTGGCCGACTTTATGTAGAAAGAGGGACTCTTTATGATGAACTCTTTCTTCCAGAAGCGGCCCCACAGGAAGTGGACCTGGTCGAGCCCCGACGGTTCCACAAAAAATGAGATTGACTTCATTATGACGACCAGACGCCAACTGTTCAGTGATGTCTCAGTGATCGCAAGGGTGAAAACTGGCAGCGATCACCGAATGGTTAGAGGCACACTGAACCTTAACGTTAAGTTGGAGAGGTCTCGTCTAATGAAGTCAACGCTCCGTCCCCCTCGTGCTCTAATCCAGAATCCCGAAACTTTTCAGCTCGAGTTACAAAACCGCTTTCAGTGCCTAGAAGATTGCAATGCAGTGGACGATATGAACGACAAGCTCGTGGAAACTGTCCATGCGGTCGGAGCTAAGTTCTGCAAGACCCGCCGCAGAACAACACAAAAACTCTCCGATCACACTCTTAATCTAATGGCTGTTAGATGGGAGATGAGGCTGCAATCGTCAACAGATTTGACAGCATACAGGCAAATTAACAGACAGATCTCCAAATGCATTTTTTACTTTATTTTTTATTTTTATTTTTTATTTTATTTTTTATTATTACGCAACTTTAATACTGCTCGTATTAAAGAAGCCATCGAGCATAACCAGGGCTCCACAGTCTTTGCCGGAGATCTGTCTGCCAGAAAGAGCCAATTGTTAAAGTTGAAGACTGAGTGTGGCAGTATCGTTTCCGGGACACCTGAGATTTTGAGTGAGATTGAGAGGTTCTATGGGCAGCTGTACACATCATCGTTGGAGCCACACGCAAGTGTGAGTAACGATCCAAGAGTAAGTCTTATCCGACACTATTCCGATGATATCCCGGATGTCAGTCTGAGCGAGATAAGAATGGCTCTCCAGCACCTTAAAAAAGGCAGGGCCCAGGTGAGGATGGAATTACAGCGGCGCTTCTGAAAGCGGGTGGAACACCGGTACTTGAAGGCCTTGAGAAGCTCTTCAATTCCGTCCTCCATAGTGGCACTACTCCAGAGGCGTGGAGCAGAAGTGCGGTGGTCTTGTTCTTTAAGAAAGGCGACAACGCCCTCTTGAAGAACTACAGACCGATTTCCTCTTCTGAGCCGCGTCTACGTGCTGTTTTCGAGAATCATTACGAATCGTCTCGCACGCAGACTCGACGACTTCCAGCCTCCCGAACAAGCCGGTTTCCAAAAAGGCTTCAGTACAATAGACCACATACAATCCCTGCGTCAGATTGTACAAAAGATCGAAGAGTACAATCTGCCACTTTAGCTGGCGTATTTGGACTATGAGAAAGCCTTTGATTCCGTCGAAATTTTGGCGGTGCTACAGTCCCTTCAGCGGTGCCAAGTTGACTGTCGGTATATCGAAGTGCTGAAGTGTTTGTACAGTAGGGCTACGATGGCTATCCGAGTACAGAACCAGAGCTCGAAACCTATCCAACTGGAGAGAGGTGTAAGACAGGGTGACGTTATATCCCCGAAACTCTTCACCGCTGCATTCGAAGACGTATTCAAGGTACTGGACTGGAAAGAATACGGTATTAACATCAATGGCGGGTACATCACTCACTTTCGATTCGCCGACGATATAGTCCTTATGGCAGAATCGCTGGAGGACTTAATCACCATGCTCAATGACCTCAATAGTGCCTCCCAACGGATAGGTCTTAAGATGAACATGGACAAAACAAAGATCACACCTATGCCGGTAGTTGTTGGGAGCACTATGCTCGAAGTTGTTGACGAGTACGTTTACCTGGGACAAATAGTCCGACTAGGTAAGTCCAACTTCGACCGAGAGGTCAATCGACGGATTCAACTCGGCTGGTCAGCGTTCGGGAAATTACGACATATCTTCTCGTCAGGTGTACCTCAATCTCTAAAAACCAGATTGTACAACCAGTGCGTGTTGCCAGTAATGACTTACGGATCTGAGACGTGGTCCTTCACTGCTGGCCGTATGAGGACGCTCAAGGTCGCTCAGCGAGCTACGGAGAGGGCTATGCTCGGAGTTTCTCTGCGTGATAGACTCAGAAATGAGGATGTCCGCAGTAAAACCTGAGTGACGGACATAGCCCAACGGATTAGTAAGTGAAGTGGCAATGGGCCGGCCATATAGCTCGAAGAACCGATAACCCATGGGGAACAAAGGTTCTCGAGTGGCAGCCTCGTACCGGTAGGCGTAGTGTAGGGCGATCCCCCACTAGATGGAGTGACGACCTGGTAAGATATGCAGGAAGTCGATGGATGCAGGTGGCTCAGGACCGTGCTTTGTGGCATTACTTGGGGGAGGCCTATGTTCAGCAGTGGACTTGTGAAGGGCTGTAATGATGATGATGATGATGATGATGATGAGTCGTCATTTTTTATAGGAGGTATTATTTATGGTCACATATCTGAGGTGTTGTGTATCTTACTGATTAAGTTATCTAAATAGAAATAGTCAGATATATATAATTTATTAGACGTATAGATTTAAATGTACTTTTATTCGATAATCGAACTCATTTATTCAATCTGTCAGTAATTATTTGTTGGCAACACTTTAAAATTCTTTGGCGTTATTATCTACTCTGAGCTGCGTTTTGACCACAGACTATAATGTTAAGTGTTAGATAATGTCCTAAGAGTAACCTTTATATAGTACTTCCTCAGTAGGGCAGTATAAACTAAAACGTAGTGAATACATTGTAGTACTCTTAGTTATGAATGTCAAAATTAAGTATTTGAAATTGAATGAAGAACTTAATGTATGTTTCATTTTACATCCATTACAAAGTTCACTGTCGAATGTAAGCCTACCCACAGATTGCCTCATGTTGTTATCAGAACGATGCCGCTGTCACATCAGCCGTTTTAATTTCCCTCTTTCGGCTCTCACGATACCCACGGTCCCACATGCGGACAAATATATTCTTAGACCGCCACTACACGGTTACTATATAGTTATTTATTGTATTGGTAACGCATATTAAATATAAATCTCTCCTTCTCCATAAAAACTTTAACTATGATAATGATCGCACTCCTCCGTGCGCGGATTACGCCTAAATAGGGGTACAAAGTTTTCCTTTCACGTATTTATACATACACAAGTTGTAAACCCTATTTCACCCCCTCAGGAGTTGAATTTTCCAAGTTCCTTTGTAAGTGGGTGGTTACCTCGGAAAGGAGTATGTATGCCAAATTTCACGTTGATCGGGAGTGTAGTTTTGGAGACGTCGAGATGAGTGAGTACCCCTCTCACTACTATTATTGTATCATAGATTATTAATTTTAAACATCATTTAACGGCCCCTTTGGCGTAGTGGGTTGGAGCAATGAGGTTCAGCGCTGAGGGCCGCGGGTTCAAATCCTGCGCGGAACAAGTAGTTGTATTACCCACAAATAACTGTTACGGGCCTAGATGTTTGTCCTTGTGGAATTTTTGTACGTAAACTACCCCCACGATACAGGAGAAAATCATAGTGTGGAGGGTACTTATTTCAAAACAATTTTTTATGTGTATTGAATCCTTTGCAATCAATATCTAAACACTTAAATAATCTGGCGTTACTTTGCGGAAATCTTAGCTGTTCACGCGCGTTCACGCTAAGTTACTCCTTACAAAATCAGCTATCTGCTAGTGAAAGTCTTGTCAAAATCGTTCCAGCCGATTCGAAGATTACCTAGCCAGAACAAATAAACAGACAGACGGAAAAAATTAAAAATGTGCTTGTTATAAATACCGTATACACATTCATAAGCATTTAATAAAAAGCTGTTATTTTGATATTACAAATAGATACTTCAATTTTGTTTATTTGTATATAGATTTATTAGCTAACATTCGTATATATAATATTATAGTATCTTATCTTATCTTACCTAGTCTGAAGAGCATCTTCCGCCCTTCCTCCATTGCGTGCACTCGCACCGTCACCACTATTAGTGTATCTGAACTAATTAGTTTTAACGTCTTTAACGTATATTATATGCTTTTATAATCAAATATCTAACTGTTCAGATAATCTAAGTGTAAAGGGTTACCAGTCTGCCCTATATTTGCCTTAATATCCACGAGCTTTAAGATATGATCCTCAAATTATATGCATCGACATGACTGCCTCTAACATACGGACAAACATACATGTAAACACTGAGCTTGATTACACGTAATCTGTTCTCTTCAACACTGCTGTAAGTTTAATGAGGTACTGAGTGATACTGTTCATTAAACTGAATTTATTTTCAGAGAAATTTCGCAACGGCCCATTTGTTTCGGGATTAACGTTCTACAGGAGGCTAAGAACATCTTTATTTCCTTTTTTTTTACGACTTTAGCATTTATATGTGTGACGGCTTCGTAACGCAGTGGTTGAATATTTGGTTGTTGTGCTACAAGATCGCGGATTTGAGTCTCACATGGAATGAGTATTTGTACTAATAATTTTTACCTTGTGCTGTCTACAAATAATATTTTCAGGATGTATGTTCTTGCTGCTTTATGTATGTAAACCGGATACAAGAGAAAATCCTACTGTAATCCTACTGAGTTAACGTTTGTTTAATGAATCTGAAAAAAAAATGAGTTGTTAAAAAGCACATGTTAATTTTATTTTTACGTTTTGAAATCGTCTATAGATGTCTATTCGAATTTAATTTGGTAATTTCATAAAAGATAATCATATATTACTCTCGCACTGGTAATGATGAACCCCATCATCGTTATGTGGTTTTGGATTCGACATTTATTATTATCAGCTGGTGCATGTCTATCTTCTCACTTTGATTGCACAATTATTGTTCTATTGGTCAAAAGCACGACTGCTGATAATGAGGTTCGAAATCTCCCAATTCCCATGTTCGAACCCGGGTCGAGCCAAAATAAGTTGTGGGTAATTCTGTCAAGAAACTTTCAGTAGCAGCACGCAGTCGGGAAGCTGTCCGTGTTTTACTTTCGAGCCTCAGGAAACTGGTAAAGCCGTTAGTCCTGCGCTTGATCTCTCTTCGGTCGTGTTGAATTTGCCGTCTCATCGAACTATGTTTGTGAGGGAATAGAAAGTGAATACCTGTGCTATAAACTTGTTCTACGGTGATGACTAGTGTCCGTTGAGACTGGTCGCCGTGATTGAAATTCGGTCTGGAGGACATAATTATCATTGTATTGTCCCTTCTATAGTCCGTCTATTTTTTATTTTTAATAAAGACATTATTAAAATCCCACCTGGTCAAAAGTGACAATAAAGCCCTAAGTGTTATATCGTATGCCTTAGCGTAACAAAAACCTATTCACTTAAAACAGCTTGTAGTGGGGGGAAAATACAGACGCTGGCAAATTATTCTAATCCTGTGGTACCTATCACGAACGGCGAAGGCTTGCAGTTGTCCGATGGTGGGAGGGGCTAGGAAGGAATTAAGTCATATAAACCCTGAACACTCTTACCGAAACGTATTCTGTAGGGTACCGAGACTCCCCCCCGAACGGGTTCCCGCCTTGTCGAGGCGGGGGGGCTTAGTAGCCGTGGCTTGGTCTCCGACGGTGAACAAAGAGGAACCCACGTGGCTGGCCCGAGGTGAAGGGCCGGCCTGAGGTGGCCACTCCGAGTGGGCTTGGGGAGCCCACTTCGGATGTGTGCTGGTGGACTGCAGCGAGTGGGGACTCCGCACCCTCTACCGCTGCAGCAGAGGTGGAGTCGCGGAGGAAGAGGAGTGTTGGTATGGCGATGCGCCACTCGCCCTATCCTCCGCGACTCAAACGGGGCCGCACCGTTGATGCGGTGGTGATGGGGCTGCGGGGGGGAGAGGATTGTCGGTATTGCGAGGCGCCGCTCTCCCTATCCTCCGCAGCCGAATCTTGGTTGGCGGCGGAGCCATAGACCAGATCCGCCGCTGGGGTAGGGAAGGCTAGTACTTCTAAGTGCTCGTTTTTCCTGGCCCCATGGCCTTCGCGCAACGGACGCGGGGGCGTCTGTTGTGCAGATGCAATTGGAGGCCGTGGAGGAAGGCGTGCCATGTGTTCTGGTGCGCCTTACATGGGAAGGAGAACGGGGAGGAATATTCCTCTTCCGAGGAGGTGCTGCCATGGGGCGGCAGTCGCTGGTGGGGCCGCGGAAGTGTGCGAAAGCGTTCCCGTAGCCCTGCCAATATGCGACGAAGGTGGAACACCATGGGGTTTTAGTCGGTGCGAGTCCGACATAACCCGTCCTTGCCCCCGCGAGGCGGGTATGCGTAGGCATTTCCCCATGTAAAAAAAAAGGTACCGAGACTGGCGAGATTGGTTTAAACAAAATCAAGGTAACTAAGAAGCCTCTTAGTGCGCGAAGTATCAAAACATTCAGTCACACGAGTTCGTTGATAATTAGGTGCACCACAAGAAAGTGAGGTTGGCACTTGAAGATATTTACGGCTTCATGAAGCCTACGTGTAATTGAACGAATGAGACGTCCCAACTGAAAACTTTTTGAACAAGTGTTTGTTTATGCAAGTGAAAATTTCTTCCGAATCGTTGTCATTTAAAAATAGACGTTACAAATAAATTACTAAAAGAGACAAACATATACAATTTAGCCTAAAAGAGAATGAGAGTTATGTGTAATATATAATGAGTAAAACTCTACAATTGTCTTACTACTGAAACATGTTCTTCTCGCGAAGTTTATCTTTCTGAAGGTTTCACTTCTACCGCGTGTGAACTGCATACATTTTATATTTCATATTTTTTTATAAAAATGTTACACTAGAACTTTCTCCCGTATTGTGGAGGCAGATTACATTCATACATTTCACAAAGACAAACATCTACATCCGGAACAATTACTTATAGACCAAAGCCGTACAAATATTTGTTTCGTGCGTGCTTCGAACACGCGGCCCTTACGGCTACAAGTCGTTGCTAATTTACAGAGCCGTCAAGTATTTGTTCATAATTTATTTTCGAAATAAATTAAAAATGTAAAAAATGAAGCCGAATATTGGTTGCGAATACAAAACTCAAATTGCTCAATTCGTTCTTTCAGCCGGAGGTTAGGACTATATGCTAAACAGCGCTCACGTCAATTCGCTTAAAATTGCCTCACGAATTGTTTTTTGACCTTTTAAAAATAACAAATAAACGTAAGTATTTTTTTAGCTGCCTGCGACGTTTTATAACCAAAACGGTTTTAACTTCGCCAACGCTCTTGTAACTCAAAAGGCTTTGGGAGCCATTGTTCTACTGTTGATCCCTACTTTTATGAATGGATTGTGGTAATTCGTAAATCAAGGCGGCTAGAACTTAAAAGGCCGGAATTTACAGTCCTGCTTGTTTACTTGCTTGATAACTTAAGAAGGACGTATTTGTTTAATGCCGCAATTTGTAGCACATTGACCTGGTAGAGCCACGCTGCAACTGTATCTATGAGCCACAGCTTCTACCATCATGTAGACCTTGTGCTCATTTATCATCCTTATCCCACAAAAAAACATCAATTATATAAAGAAACAAAAATACGTAAAAAATCTACGCGAACACATTTAAATAATACTAGTTTTTACGGGTTTTATCGTTAACTATGGACATCTGGTCGTTGAACATCTCAGTCCCCCGGGACCATGGGATCCATGGGTGCTGTAAAGTGCTCGAAACGTCGGGTATATAAAAAAGTTAATATACGCGATAAAATCCGTAAAAACTAGTATTATTTAAATACTCAACTAAATATTTAAAAACTAGTTGCTAATCTATATAGCATAGCACGAATGGGTCAGCTCGACCGGGGAATGAACCACCAGGGTAGCACCACACTCTAACAGAATACTAGCGTAAAATGTAGCTTAATTCTACTGTATTTCGTATGGTGACTGTAGAAAACCGGAGATCTCTTTAACTGGATACAAGGCATTCCATCTTAGTCCTCAGTGGTGACAAAGGATATGGATTTTGATTCTTAATCAAGGATAGAACTAGATGTCTGTGAGCCACAGCATCCACTTATCATCAGGTGGGTTGTGTGTTCGCTTGTCACCCTAATTCTATAAAAGAAGAATAGTGTTTCAATTTTTCAGCGTAATGTTTTCTCCACCTATCACTGTTGTCAATTCCATCTAACCTCATAATATGAGCATCCATTTATCATAAGACGGACATTATTCTATCTTATCACCCTTCAAGTAAAAATCGAAATGCAGATGCGTTGTCAACCATACGGAAGAGATGGCACTCCTCGTATCAAGTCCACTGCTGTACATAGGCCTCTACCCACGGAACTACACAAAGCACTGTCTAAATATTGCTTATTCTAGTAATATAGATGCTTACGCTGGAAATAAAACTGCTAAAGTCTAGCATTCGCCGAATAGAAAACTGCATTCACTAATTGAATAAGACTATATTTAAGGATTTTATCGCGTTTATTAACCTATTTTAACTTATTTTTAATTCCTGACGTTTCGAAATTTTAAATTTTCGAAACGTGTAGTGTTCACGTAATTTAAAAAATTATGCATTCACTATATAAGTCTCTCAAATACTACACTCCCACTTCGAGTGTTCTTTTGTAAAACTTTTCTCATAAATCCAGCGTCGTTTCAACTCAAATAAAGTATTTTTTTATTTGATGGCAATATGGGAATATAGTTATTTGAACATACAGCCATCACTACAGCTCATCACAAGTCCACACCTGAACTTTAATCTCCCCCACTCCTCCAGGTAATGCCATGAAGCTTGTTCTAGAGCCAACTCCGTTTTATTTTATAGGATATGGGTGCCAAATGAGTACACAGCCCTCCTGATAGCAAGTGGATGCCCATAGACATCTACATTTGTCCTCGAATAACTATCAAAATGCAGATGCGTTGTTAGGACCCTGAAGACTAAGATGGAATGTCTCATTTCCAGTAAAAAAGGTGTAGGTTTCTCTACATTCGCTATACGAACACAGCAGCATTTTGTTGCTATTTTATGCTGATATTCTGTGAGAGCGTGGTACCTGCACCAGCTGTTATTTTTTTTATTTACATCATTCTAATACATTTTCATATATCATTATAAAATAGGACAGATGACATATTTGCTATGTTCTCAGAGTTAA